GTATGGATGTGAGAGTTGGACTATAAAGAAAGCTGAGCGCTGAAGAATAGGTGCTTTTGAACTGTGGTGTTGGAGAAGACTCTTGAGAGTCCCTTGGACTGCAAGGAGATCCAACCAGTCCATCCTAAAGGAGACCAGTCCTGGGTGTTCATTGGAGGGACTGATGCTGAAGCTGAAACTCCAATACTTTGACCACGTGATGCGAAGAGCTGACTCATTTGAAAAGACCCTGATGCTGAGAAAGATTGAGGGCAGGAGGAGAAGGGGACGACAGAGGATGAGATGGTTGGATGGCATCACCGACTCGATGGACATGGGTTTGGTGGACTCCGGGAGTTGGTGATGGACAGGGAGGCCTGGCATGCTGGGGTTCATGGGGTCTCAAAGAGTCAGACACTACTGAGCAACTGAACTGAAGGGAACTGAATGTTCCAGTTTGGGAAAGAGATGAACATGAAGCTAGAAAAGAAACAGAAAAACAAAGTGAAAGGTTTTCAGGGGCCCTTTAGAGGAGGAATTTCAACAAAGTAAACAGCAGACTTTGGGGGTGAGAGAATGCTTGCAAATGTAACAAGTTTTCAAATGTAATTCATGTATATTTATGCCTTGGTTTCTTCCTGGTAGGATCTTTTTTTTTTTTAATAGAATAAGGAAGCTAACAATGTCAAAGCTAGAGATTTTCTTTGGGTTTGTTAAAAAAGCAATATAATTTCAACAAAGCAGAGAAAAGCCAGGAAAACAAGCCAACCTTTCTACCTGCTCCTGTTACTGGGAAGTCTGGCACCACCTTGGCAGAGGTAGCTTAAAAAATGAGAAACATCACATGGTATTTGTGTGTGTGTAATTTTCTGAGCTGAACTGAAGGTTAAAAGAAATCCCCTGGAGGATGTTGGACTAAAGGACCTTCTCAAATTAATGCACATGTTCACAAACTTTCTGCATACCTGCTCCCTTGGTTCTTGGACGCTCCCTAAAATTCACTGATCTCTGTCCTTTGCTCTGTTAACCTCACATTTTTGACAGTAAAAGATGGATACCTAATTCACACTTTAAGATATCTGAGAACAGAATCTGCCTTTTTGTACAGTTGGGCTATTCTAACAGCGGACACAGGCAAAGGCGATAGAGTCCTTAAGTAGAGTTGATGTTGGCTATTTCATTTGTTTATTTTTTGATGTTGACTATTTTGTTTGTTTATTTTTTGATGTTGGCTATTTTGTTTGTTTATTTTTTGATGTTGGCTATTTTAAAGAGCTGAGTAGAACACGCTCTTGCTTCCTGCAGAGTCTGTGATCAAGCTCCGATTCAAATCTTTGCCCTTCAGAGTGCTGTTCAGTCATTGGAGCAGCACTGCTTCTCCTCAGCACACCCCAAAAATACTTGCGTGGCTGTTGAATACTCGCTGTGCTCAGTCGCTCAGTCATGTTGCACTTTTTGTGGCCCCACGGACTGTAGCCCACCAGGCTCCTCGTCCATGGGATTCTCCAGGCAAGAATGGGGAGTGGGTTGCCATGCCCTCCTCCAGGGGACCTTCCCAACCCAGGGATCCAACCCAGGTCTCCCACACTGCAGGTGGATTCTTTACCATCTGAGCCACCAGGGAAGCCTATATACGTTTTCAATTGAAGAATAGTTGACGTACAATGTTGTGTTAATTTTTGCTGTATAGAAACGTGATTTAGTTATACACACACACACACACACACACATTCTTTTTTATATTCTTTTTCATTTTTCCATTATGGTTATCACAGGATATCGAATATTGTTCCCTGTGCTATAAAGTAGGGCCTTATTGTTTATCTGTTCTTAATTTTTTAAAAAAATGTCCTCTCCCCAGCTCCCCCTCGGCAGCCACAAGTCTGTTCTCTGTGATTCTTCCTGTTTCATGGGTAGGCTCATTGGTGTCACATCCTCATATAAATGATGTCATGTGGTATTTGTCTTTCTCTGACTTCTCTAGTTCCATCCAAGTTGCTATGATGGCATTATTTTATTCTTTTTATGGCTGAGTAATATTTCATCTATATATACACACACACAAAGACATGCAGAAGGAAATGGCAACCCAGTCCAGTATCCCGCCTGGGAAATCCCATGGACGGGAGCCTGGCGGGCTTCAGTCCACACACACACACACACACACACACACACACACTACGTCTTCATCCATTCATCCGTCAGTGGACATTTATTGGTGCTTCTTTGTCTTGGCGATTGTAAGTATGCTGCAGTGAATGTTCGTGTGCGTTATCTTTCTGAACTAACAGTTTTGTCTGGATACATGTCCAGGAC